TGACGGGTAGTGTGTTACTAATGGTTTCTTTGAGACTGTGGTCCCAGCTCTCTTCAGGTCATTGACCAGGTCCTTGCCGTGTAGTTCTGGGCTGATCCCTCACCTTCCTCATGATCATTGATGCCCCACGAGGTGAGATCTTGCATCGAGCCCCAGACCGAGGGTGATTGACCGTCATCTTGAACTTCTTCCATTTTCTAATAATTGCGCCAACAGTTGTTGCCTTCTCACCAAGCTGCTTGCCTATTGTCCTGTAGCCCATCCCAGCCTTGTGCAGGTCTACAATTTTATCCCTGATGTCCTTACACAGCTCTCTGGTCTTGGCCATTGTGGAGGGTTGGAGTCTGTTTGATTGAGTGTGTGGACAGGTGTCTTTTATACAGGTAACGAGTTCAAACAGGTGCCAGTTAATACAGGTAATGAGTGAAAAGAACAGGAGGGCTTCTTAAAAGAAAAACTAACAGGTCTGTGAGAGCCGGAATCTTACTGGTTGGTAGGTGATCAAATACTTATGTCATGCAATAAAATGCAAATTAATTACTTAAAATCATACAATGTGATTTTCTGGATTTTTGTTTTAGATTCCGTCTCTCACAGTTGAAGTGTACCTATGATAAAATTACAGACCTCTACATGCTTTGTAAGTAGGAAAACCTGCAAAATCGGCAGTGTATCAAATACTTGTTCTCCCCACTGTTATAGATATATGCCATTTAGCAGACCCTGCTATTTCAGCCCACACCCATTGCTGACAGGTGTATAAAATCGAGCACACAGCCATGCAATCTCCAAGACAAACACTGGCAGGTAGAACGGCCTGTACTGAAGAGCTCAGTGACTTTCAACGTGGCGCCGTCATAGGATGCCACCTTTCCAACAAGTCAGTTCGTCAAATCTCTGAGATGTTCGACGAGCAGGTGTCCACATACTTTTGGTCATGTAGTGTGTCTATTCAGTCTCCAGTAACCTTTCCTAAAGCAATAAGTCATTATTGTGAGTTATTGTAGTATTGATGCAACATGCTATGGGTCTGGTTGAGGTTCATATCTGTATGTGATAACCCTAACACTAACCTTGATGACAATAAAGTTTCTCCTCTGTGATTACAAGATGTGGCCTCATGTTTATTCATGATTCTCATTTGCACAAGGACACAATATTGACCAATCACACGTCCGTACAATAAGACTAAATATGACATAATACACAATGTGCCAATCCACAGGTCTATAATATTCTAGAACGATCTATCATGTAGAACATTAACAACATTGATATAAGTAGAGCCAGAAAAAACCCCAGGAAGTAGCCGACTGGGACAGAGGTCAGGGGTCAGGGGTCAGGCAAAGTAAGCGTAGAGGAATATATTAACACAGATCAGCAGAATGGCGTTGACGCAGCAGAAGCGTGACCAGAACACACTCTCTCTAACACTGGGGATTCTGGGTAATGGAACCTCCTCCGCTGAGCTGCAGAGCCCCGTCCCCCGGCCGCAGACTGTCCTCCGCACCGGAGCAGAACCTTCACACACACACACACACACACACACACACACACACAAACACACCACAGAATGTAAAATCAACATTATTGAGCATGCGTCAGTCTATCTGTAGCAGAGAGCTTGATCTGTCTGTCTCACCCTGGACCTGGTGTTTCTGTCTGTCTGTCTCACCCTGGACCTGGTGTTTCTGTCTGTCTGTCTGTCTCACCCTGGACCTGGTGTGTCTGTCTGTCTGTCTGTCTGTCTGTCTGTCTGTCTCACCCTGGACCTGGTGTGTCTGTCTGTCTGTCCGTCTCACCCTGGACCTGGTGTTTCTGTCTGTCTGTCTGTCTCACCCTGGACCTGGTGTTTCTGTCTGTCTGTCTGTCTGTCTCACCCTGGACCTGGTGTTTCTGTAAGTCTGTCTGTCTGTCTGTCTCACCCTGGACCTGGTGTTTCTGTCTGTCTGTCTGTCTGTCTCACCCTGGACCTGGTGTTTCTGTCTGTCTGTCTGTCTGTCTGTCTGTCTGTCTGTCTGTATGTCTGTCTGTCTGTCTGTCTGTCTGTCTCACCCTGGACATGGTGTTTCTGTCTGTCTGTCTGTCTGTCTGTCTGTCTGTCTGTCTCACCCTGGACATGGTGTGTCTGTCTGTCTGTCTGTCTGTCTGTCTGTCTGTCTGTCTGTCTGTCTGTCTCACCCTGGACCTGGTGTTTCTGTCTGTCTGTCTCACCCTGGACCTGGTGTTTCTGTCTGTCTGTCTGTCTCACCCTGGACCTGGTGTTTCTGTCTGTCTGTCTGTCTCACCCTGGACATGGTGTTTCTGTCTGTCTGTCTGTCTGTCTAACCCTGGACATGGTGTTTCTGTCTGTCTGTCTCACCCTGGACCTGGTGTTTCTGTCTGTCTGTCTCACCCTGGACCTGGTGTTTCTGTCTGTCTGTCTCACCCTGGACCTGGTGTTTCTGTCTGTCTGTCTGTCTGTCTCACCCTGGACCTGGTGTTTCTGTCTGTCTGTCTC